TGCGCAATTGGTTGCCGCATTTCGCCCACAAATGTAGTCAATTCACTTTACAGTCTATTCTGTGAAGCGCTTTGAGATGTCTAGAAGATGTGAAAAAATATTAAATGCAAGAATTATTATTTTATTTTATAAATAGTACCTCATGTACTATGTGAGCAGATTATTTCACAAATACTGTATTGGGGGCACACACTATCGGATATGTTGGATGGAAATAGAATGGCATTAAGACAATTTCTCCAGATGAATGGTAATGGAATGCCTGATCACAGCATTTTCAGTTTAATAAGATTCAATGTTATATTTTATTGCCTTCTTTCTGCATTCACACATCATTCTCAAGCATTACAATTGGGGTGGTTAGCGTGCTGTGTTGGATTAATATTCCTGACTAATATCTGCTGCACATTTTGTTCTGCTTGTTTAAGATGAGAGAAATAAACTAGTTTGTGACCTTCACATATTTCTCACGAGCTTTATTTCATTAATGTTCTTTTTGCTCTCAGAAACAACTGCCAAAATAAGGACAAAAGGCATTTCAAAATGAGTCCTCCTTCAACTGTTTAATGTTAAAGAATAGACAGGAAATACAAAACAAAGAGTTCACAAAATACTTTTTTTCAGCAGAAACAATGTGTACAGCATCATCTGACAGATATTTACACTAGTTGAAACAGACAAAAATTCTGGAATTTTAGCAAGATCCAAACAAAACAAGACAGCTTGTGAATTATTGTAAACTCACCCAGAGTGCACATACATTCTAAAGGAGTTTGCAGCAATGAGTCACGTTAATAGCACCACTTCTTTGGATCGCACTCTGACCTTAGCAATTCAACTGAGTTTATGTCCCATGGGTTTGGAAACCTGGTAACCCGCCTTGCATTTTGGATAAGCTATGCTAGTTAATTGATTACTGAGAGTCCCTCATAGCTCATTAAGCACTCCGGGACACTACCCCACGTGAAGGGTGCTCTATAAATGCAAGTTGTTGTTGTTGTTGTTCATTAAGGAATTTATAAGGATTTTACTTAACATGAAACAATGTCTATTGTAGTCAACAGCTTCAAACATGAATTGACAAGTGAAAAAATGTGCATCAAATCACGTGGGTTGATAAAGGTTTTTGAAATTAATTCGTCTCCAGAGTTTACCCAGTAGCCTAGTGAGTAAAATCACAGTCCGTTCATAGATCGCACAGACCCTGGACTGTAGAGTTAGATGATTTCAGGTGGGGTGACAGAGCGCTACAATTGGTCTCAGTTCTTCTCCGCTAGAGATGGGAAAATGAAAATCAAGCCCTTTCCCATTCCCCATTGTGATACAGAGACCTGCACATGCATTAGAATTGAGGCAAGGATTCTGATGTGGATTACCAGCAGATTACTCCTAGATTATGGTGCTGGAATGCCAAAACAGATTTATTGTATCAACATGAACCCAATAAAGAATAATGCTAAATTACTTTACTGTAAACAAAACATTGCCTGCATTCAGTTTTTCCTTTCCTATTTTTGTCCCATTTTTGCTTCAACTGTATTTTTCACCTGTTTTCTTTCTGTCTCTTTTCTTCCTCTTTACCCTTTTCCCGACACTGTCTGACACTGGCACCCATCACTTACCTTCTGTTAGCTATCACTGTTTCATTTTGGAAGGTAAAGGCAAAGGGATTACATTCCCTCAAAATAATTCTGGCAGTTTTTAATATTGCAGCAAAACCTCCCTAAAAGATCAATAAATTACAGATTATTCTCTGACAACATTTGTATCTGAGAGGAGTGACTGTTAGCCTGAACAAGCATACTCAATTCCTGCTCACTTTCAGACAAGTGATCCCATCAGTAACACTTTGTTTAAACTTAGGTTTTATGGTTTGTTTCATTTCCCCTCCATGCATCGCCTCAGGTCAGATCATTCCGTGATTGAGATGGCAGGCAGGTAACCTTCTTGCCAGCTTCTGCCAATGCTTTTAGTTTTTAGCCTTTAATTTGTCTACAAAAATACACAGTCACTGCACTTTAAGGTATATCCTGTGCTTTAAGATGGTCTTCCGACATGAATTAATTTTTTATCTGGCTGAAAGGCCAGTGTGACTCACCTTTCTGTGGGGAAAATCCCAGACTTTGCTACTGCTTTTTCTTGACAGTGTAGGAACATCTGGCCATGTCACGTGAGGAATTGCCACTGGCCTGTTTTCTATTATCCTTTAATTTTATTGATTTTTTTTAGGAATTGTAGCACGGTTAAGCCTGAACAGCCAAAATGTAGCTGAGGATTTACTTCACTACATTTTAAAAGGAGCGAAGTAGTTTCCAGCCGTTGATTCCTCTGGTACAGCTTGAGTTTTCAATAAAACATTTGATATAAGAGAAAGGAAACCTTGCTCTTGTTCCATTAGTTTCTCAGAATCATTTGCAGTGTGCGTAGTGGCAAGAGACTTCACATGAATAGTGTTTATAGAGACAGCGGGAACGGTTCATTTTTTACTGTGATCCACATCTCAGGGGTGGGATCTACATTTCAGCTTAGGCCATCTGCTCTATTCTCTGATACTTTCAGTGTAACTATTTACAGCACTTGTTCAGCTGGTCATAGATACATGGTATCTTAGTACTTTATTGGAGCTCCACAATTTACTATATTTTCTACTGTCTATTGTTTCAATATGTACAATTTAAAATCTGCTCAGAAAGCTTATTGCAGCTTTTTATTACATTTGATTACATTTGTGGCTGTTCTTCTGAATATAAGATAACATTAGAGTGTCAATACCTTGCTGTAAGTGTGCTTTCAATGCACTTACAGACAATAAAACTGCCCTTAATAGTACAACCATATGTCCTTTGAAAACATCCAGGATTAAGAGCAGTGCTGTGTTTCCAAAACAGTTGGGTGACCTGCAACTTACATTTTAACAACTGGGATTTCGTACCGTTTTAAGAGTGTAGTAGGGTCTATTCTGTAATATTCAGAAAATTGATTTTTTTGTGTTAATTGGAACAATTCATCTGTTTGGCACGTCTGGGCTAACACCTGGCTGCTTTGCCATTTGGTCTTTTTAGGGGTCTTTGTTGATTTAGGATTTCTGTGGTGCAAATTTTGCAGACAGCAGTTGCATTGAAAGACGTGGTAAAGTGTATCTTAGTGGTAATTAAAGGCCATGCAACACTCGTCTTTTGGAACTACAGTACAGTGTTTGGTTTTGCAGTCGACTGTTTCAGCATTGCAGAGAAAACATTTATTTGCATTGCAACCAGCAGCAGAGGATTGAAAAATAAATCTTGTATGTAGACAGACAAAATGTTCCTTGTGTGAAAACGCAAGGCAGATGTAGTATATTTCTAAGTGCCCATTTGAACAGCTCAAGCGACCAACAACCTCCTGATATAGTAAATGGCTCAATTACCCTTTATAATTCTAAAAATATGCACACTAGTCTCTTTCCTCTCGTTATACCTTGATGCAACAATACACAGTTCTTTTTCTTTTTGAAGGTTATGTTACCCTTTGTCTGTCAATTTCACTTTCCTCAGCTGCCATTCCTATCTTTTTAAACCAGAACCAATAGTAATTGCGCAAATAAGCCACTCTGCCAAAGTTTACACAATTACTAATTCTAATTGAAATGATAATGAGATGCAGACATTTAGTGCAGGAGCATCCAACATATATTTGATGGAAAAAATTATCAGGACAGTTTTCCGGCAACCAATATTTGTGACAAATCATTTAATATCACCCAGAGCGGATCCGATAACTGCTCCATTCTCATTCCATGATGGACCAGTTATCGGATCTGCTCTAGGTTGTATTAAATGACTCTGACACAAATGTTGTTTATCAAAAATAATTATGCAGTTTTTGGCAAGTGTCTGCTCATTTACTTACTCACAGTTTTATGCTCACATCTGTTGCTTACGTCAAGGGGACTGTTCAAAACACTTCATCGGATTTACTATTTAGGGCAGTGATTGTACTTTGTAGGTGTTATGTCATTGTCCCATCAAATCCCCCCATGGATTTAATTCCCATGTTAGGCGTTTAAACTCATATAGTCTGGGCTGATACTCCAATTGCTGGGGATGTGCTGAATTTGTCATTCACTTACATAGTCAGTACAGTTTACATCATATCCTGTTAAGAGTTTTGAGACGTCCTCCTGAGGTAAAAGGCGTTATTTTAAATGCAAGAAAAAGCATCTACACTATCATACTTTCCAGAAGAATCTCATTTTGATGGCAAGTCAGTCAAAATACATTATAAAACATATAAATAAATTAATATATACTATAGAGATATTGCTCCACCACAGCAGTTCTATCCAACACAGATTGACAAGTAGTCACCAGAGAAAGAAATGGCAATTCTACAATGGAAAAAAGGATTCAATGTAGATCCAAAACATACAGAACATCGTACATATATATAGCAACAAAATTTTACTTCCATCAACCAACTGAAATGGTAATACTGTAATATATGGCCACATAACGGCACACAGCATAAACTGAAAGAGTGTGCCACTGATGTTTGACCAATATATGACAATAAAGCTACATATACAGAAGAGTTACCCATCGGATCACACAGAATGAGTGATTTTGCATTCTGTATTCTGTGAGAAATCATTTTGCTCTTCACATCAACGTGAAAAGCAAAATGGCCACATGTGCACAGTGCCACTAGGTTTGGCAGCACTACTCCAGAGTTACATCTGTGAACATGATTTAAAAATGGTTGTTCGCTGACAATATGCATATTTTTATATGTTTATATTTTTATATTTTAAATCTAAAATTCAATTCTGTAGACAAATTTATGCAGCTAGGTTTGTAATAGCGTGTTACACACATCTGTGCTATGCGTCCACAAGTCTGCATGCAAATGAAACACAGCTATCCATGAATTTGTACTTATGGAGTCATTGCATTCCTGATCAAACTATTTTAATTGTGTTGAGATGAACTGGGAAACATTGTGATTTGCTTCTGTGTTTTCAGAGGGTAAAGTTGAAGTGACCAAAGAAGAAGCAAAGCTATGTACCATGGGACCAGGAAAAGTATTTGGGGAGCTTGCCATTCTGTACAACTGTACCAGGACTGCTACGGTGAAAAGTAAGTTCTTGAAATGGATTAAAAATGTATTCTTGTAGGTTTTCATTATATTTGTGCAGTTCTGCAACTTATGTTGTAACCTTGGAGTGCTGTATGATGCAGAGTTCAACACTATTAATATGATATTGTATAACCAGAATAAGAAAGCCCAGTAACTGCTAAATAGTAGATGTAATCTCAAAATGGTATTGAATTGAATTCATCGGCTTAGAATTATTCTGCTCCTACATAAAATCATAAAAATTTCAGCACTGAAGAAGGTCATTTGGCCCATCAAGTCTAAATTACTTAGATTCATAGACCCAGTGGAGGATATTTATATTTCAGATGACACCAAGCTGGGGTGGACTGGAGATAGCCAGAGTATTACAAAGAGTATGCAATCCTGGGCTGATCACTATTAAAATTAAATTTGGAATGGATAGATGCGTAGTATTGGATATTGGAATTGAAACTAAGAGGCACATATGCTCCATGGTGAGCTAGGATTTAACAAACAGAGGGATTACGGAGATCTAGGGGTGTTAGTTAACTCATCATGGTATCCTCTGCTAGGAGCGATGAAATAGAATCCATACCAGCATTCAAGAAATAGATATAGATATCTTAAAAAAGAATAATTTGCTGCTGTATGGGATGAAGGCAGATAAATAGGACTGAATGCTCGTTGAGAGATAAGCATAGACGCAATGGGCTGAATGTGTTGTAAATAACTATATTCACCATAATAGTAGTACTCCTTGCATTTGATATGGCACCTTATCATCTCAAAGTGCTTCACAGAAAATACTGTAAAGTGAATTGACTGTAATATTGTGGGCGAAATGTGGTAGCCAATTGGGCACAGCAGTGTCCCACAAACAGTTGTAGACTGAGTGACTAAATAATTATTAATTTTTTTTTCGATGTACAAACTGGGAGAGGTGACAATAAAAAAGTGAACAGAATGATGAGCTACATTGCCAAATCAATTGAGTTGAAATCCTCTGGAGATTTGGTGGACTGATCACACCGCTCAGATCATTGAAACATAAGGTCTTGGAAACTGTGCAAGGGAGAGCAATGAAGCTAATTCCAATTGCTGCTGACACAAACTATGATAAAAAATCATTGAGATATTTTAAACTATTTTTTAGTCTTAAAAATGACAATCAGACAGCTAGTGCAGACTTCAATTTAAAAATTAGCAAACCTAAAGTGAAGCTAGAGGGAAATTTTGCTGCGCAGATTTAAAAAATATGTGGAATAGACTTCTAGGATATAGACTGAAACTATCAAAGACTGTGTGGGGCATAATTGCTCCTGAGCTGTTAGAGCTACGGTGTGATGTTGCCTATGCAGACAAATGTTCTTGTGTTACCTTTGAGGATTAGGAAGTATTATATTTCTTGATCGTTTCCTGAGGAGGTTAAACAGGTGGCAGGGAAACATTATGATTTGCTTCTGTGTTTTCAGAGTAGATTTTAAATGGTCATTGAAAATATTAATTTTCTTCAAGATAACATTTGTCCAGGTTGTGCATTATACACTGCAGCTACTGACACCTAGTCTATAATTTATTTGCGACCGTATGCATGAAGACATTTTTTATGTCTTTAAGAATTTCATATTATTTTAAAGATTTTGTTTCTTGCATTCAACATTATCCAAGTGTGACTGCCTGAGGATATTTTGGTCTAAAAATACACACAAGCATCTGTAGGGGATTTATATTTTTCTTATTATCTAATTTAATTTCTGGGATCTGAGAATTAATCCCATGATTGACAGCTGGAATCTTTTTTACCTGCTTGACTGCTTATTTTTGGATTTGTTGAATAGTGATAATTATTCATGCAAGTCCTACTGAAATAAACTACGGCAGCTTCTTACAAGCCTTTATGAATTGTCTTAAAACATCCTGAGACTTGAATGGTATCTATGAGCCTTTAGTGATTGATAAATGGGCTGAATATAAAACATGAATAATACAAGGACACCTTAGAACACGACACTTTATTGAAAACAATTCTTGAACACCTTTATTTATTGCAAAGCCATATTCCTGGAATCTGCTAAAGAAAAATATAACTCTTTATAATTATTGATTTAACATGTATAATGGCAAGTGATCCGAAAAGAGAGGTAAAATACTATTTTTGATCTCAAAGTTGATGGGTGATTTATTTTGGTTGATGGCTGTAGAATCCAATTCATGAAGCAAATGTGTTTATTTGTGAACTTCCTATTCTATGGTCCTCCACTTGTTGCATTAGTTGTTGGTGCAATTAGATTCAGTATCCACCTTGCAAATGCTTGATCTTCCTATACAAGTTTGATCTTCCTGTCCAAAACATACTTGATAGAATTTATTAAATCAATACAGCAAATTGATTAAACATTGCTTCAATTAATTTAGATTTTCCATGTTTTCATCAATATGCAGTCTTATTTTCACCAATCATTAATCCTGTTATTTGATTTGTATGATGCACTTGAATTGGCAGTGTGAAATTTATCACCACATTTGTCACAATAATGTAGTACATCCAAGATTCACAACCATAGAATTATTTTAGATCGTAATTTACTGATTGATTTTGAGGGCATGATTTTTCGCTGGTTGGTAAATGTAACTTCCCCAGGAATTTTTATGGGAAAATGCCATTATCAGAACATTTAGTAACCAGTGGAAATAAATTTGCTTTAAGCCTCATTCCATGCTGATTTCAGATTCAGACTTTCAGTCTGCTAAAGGAGTTTATCGGCTTTCCTGATACATGCAACTACATCCTGGTTAGTAATAAATATGTTCTTGAACAAGTTTTCCAAATATTTTTGCGACACTTATCAAGAAATAAAGGTGGAATAACTATCCTAATCTTAATAAATGTAAACCAAAATCTAGGCATAAAATCTAGGAGTAAAGATCCAATTAGTATCCTTGATGTGTGTTAATAATGAGACAATAGGTGGTTTACCAGCAGGTGTAAAAAGATAAAATAGGTCTCTGCTCGTCTTTCCAGAAGATATATTGATGTGTGAAATCATTTGGTGAAAGCAGTTTGGAAACTACATGGATTATTCACTACACTAATGCCATTAAAGAGAATTCCTTTGAGATGCTTAAATTAGACCAAGGAAAAACTGAAATTGCAATGGAATTAATCATAATTCTACAGATTGAAAAGAAAGAATTTGGGGTTGAGCATTCTGTAGTTGAAAAAGGAATAAAAAAAAGAAAATCAGCACTGTAAGATGACTGTAGAAAAGGTTACATTTGTATGCAGGTCTGGACAACTGTAGTTAACCTCATTGAGCATTGTTCCCACACTATCTGAAGACCACCATTCAGAAATGTGTGTGCTCATTTCAGATTTAAAAAGAAACAGAAATGTTGCCTCATTTTCAGGCTTCTTCAATAAATAAGTTTAGACTTAAGTTGATTCTCCAGGGGGAGACACTGTGCGCAGGTACTTTAAGACTTTTGCATTAGAAAAGCTTTAGACAGCTGCACAAATATCTTATCTTGGCTCTCTTCCATGTTATGTACCTATTGCAACAACAGCAGAAAATCCTCAGCATTGCTTTTATCAGTAAAGCAGTGGAAAGTAATCCAAACTAGAATCCACATGCTGGTACAATTACAAGGGCAGTCTCAGCCATCAGCCACCCTCAAAGGTACAAGTTTATTGATTAAAGCTGAACCGAATACACTATAAATTCAAACCATTGGTTAGTTTCTGAGTCCATTGGATTTAATAGCCAATGTTCTATATTTCTATCCTGCCATGTATGGATCAAAGGGCAAGCAAAGAAAATGCTACATTGGTATATATCTTGATAAGAATCCATCTGAAGTCTCAAATAATGAAATTTTTTGGAACACTAGCTTTGCAGGAAGTGATGGCATCCGGCCACCCCAGAAGTTGTTTAATTTTTATGCTTTGCTTAGAACACGGTCTCTGAGAGATTTGACCCAGAGGGCTATGTTTTACCAAGGTTGCTCTTTGATTGGAAAAGATCAGAGCTTGACGTGGAAGGATAGATTCCTCAACCCACTTTCTGCTAAGATTCAGAGCAGAGTAACTGGTAGTATTTGCTATAAAATATTCCCTGGATCATTTAGTGAAAATGAACACTAAACTGATTAATCTTGAATGTACTGTTGCATAAAGCAATGTAGAACCGAGTTGGTATGTTGGATGTTAATGGATAACATCAAGCCAAGAACCTCTTTAAGATGCCCTCCTGATGTGAAAGGCATTATTATACATTTTGATTGTCAGTTATTGTTGGCTGTTCAAATGTTAATTATTGAAATTCACTGCCCAACTGTGTCCAAAACTAGGATGAGGCGATTTGCTGCTTCAGTCAGTGATGAACGGCACATAACTATGCTCCACATGTGGCAAAAAGATATTTTAACTCAATGAATAATCATTCCTTGAAGCATTTAACACACACATACCTACAAAAGTGCCTGTTATTAATTTTCATGTGAAATGGGCGACACTCCATTTATCATCAGTACTCTTTTTTTTAATATTGCTTCAAAATGTAAATGCATAGATTATTATAAATTATGTCAAGAACATTATCATCCACCATTATTTCTTATGTTACTAGCTTTGTGGGCTTTCTGAAGACATTTATTTTAGAATCATACAAAATACATTTAGAATTGGAATACAGGTGTTTAATGTAAGATATTCACAAACTGGATTCATTACTTGACTTACAGCTTTCGGTTTGTGTCTCCTGATGTGTGATACTTGTAGCTCATGAAATCCAAAGGCTGACGAACAGAAAGTGAGCAGGGAATATTTTGTTTGCTAGCTTTTTTTTTGCAGTTGCCATCTTTCACAGTTTGCAGTTAGCTGTGTTCTGAATATCACAACTCAATTCTTTCAAACCAGGAATCTCAAATTATTCTTTGAAACCAGTTTACAAATGTTCCAAATTTGACTCCTTCTCCAGAGCAACCACTTAACATTCAAGGTACATCCTTTAAAATCTCT